CCCCTTCATGACTGGTGGACTTCAACCCCCAGAATTCCTCAGCCAGCATGGGGGAACTATGGCCCCTTCATGACTTGGGGACTTCAACTCCCAGAATTCCTCAGCCAGCATGGGGAAAGCTTTGGCCCCTTCGTGACTGGTGGACTTCAACTCCCAGAATTCCTGAGCCAACATGGGGGAACTTTGGCCCCTTCATGACTGGTGGACTTCAACTCCCAGAATTCCTGAGCCAGCATGGGGGAACTTTGGCCCCTTCATGACTTGTGGACTTCAACTCCCAGAATTCCTGAGCCAGCATGGGGGAACTATGGCCCCTTCATGACTTGGGGACTTCAACTCCCAAAATTTCTGAGCCTAAGTACGTGCCAGTTGCCAAGCGCCTGAATTTGGACCCCGTGACCAGGGGCGTGGCGCAACGGTCGTAAGAGTGAGGAACGGTCATAAGTTGTTTTTTTTCAGTGAGGTGTAACTTCGAACAGTCATCAAAGGAAAAGTTATCAGTAAAGGACTTGCCTGTATTGGGTTGAATTTTCCAATGGGAAAAAAAAATCTCTTTTCTGATTCCACCTGTTAGACTCTCAGGATGCTACGAAGCCTTGGATGGAGGCAACACGGGCGATGCCTTGGTGGATTTTACTGGCGGGGTCTCGGAGCCCATCGACCTGGTCGAAGGCGGCTACGCCAGTGACGAAGACAAACGGAACCTCCTTTTCGAGAGGGTGTTGAAGGTCCATAACCGAGGAGGCCTCATCAGTTGCTCCATCAAAGTAAGCAGGTCTTCTCAGCACAAAGAGCAAAGAAGAATTTTATTCATCTCTCTGGACTGAGGTTGGGAATTTTGAGGTGGGCTTTAATAATAATAATGCCCAAATGCACAAGTACAGCATAGGTGACACCTTGCTCAATAGCAGTAACTGTGAGAGGGACCTCGGAGTCCTAGTGGACAATCCTTTAAATAGGAGCCAGCCGTGTGCTGCAGCTGCCAAAAAAGCTAACACAGTGCTAGGCTGCATTAACAGAGGGACAGAATCAAGATGACGTGAAGTGTTAATACCACTTTACAAGGCCTTGGTAAGTCCACACTTGGAATACTGCATCCAGTTTTGGTCACCGCGATGTAAAAAAGTTGTTGAGACTTTAGAAAGAGTGCAGAGAAGAGCAACAAAGATGATTAGGGGACTGGAGGCTAAAGCATATAAGGAACGGCTGCTGGAATTGGGTATGTCTAGTTTAACGAAGAAAAGGACCAGGGGGGACATGATAGCAGTCTTCCAGTATCTCAGGGGCTGCCCCAAAGAAGAGGGAGTCAAGCTATTCTCCAAAGCGCCTGAAGGCAGGACAAGAAGCAACGGGTGGAAACTCATCAAGGAGAGAAGCAACCTAGAACTAAGGAGAAACTTCCTGACAGTGAGAACAATTAACCAGTGGAACAATCTGCCTCCAGAAGCTGAGAATGCTCCAACACTGGAAGTTTTTAAGAAGAGACTGGACAGCCATTTGTCCGAAATGGTATAGGGTTTCCTGCCTGAGCAGGGGGTTGGACTAGATGATCTTCAAGGTCCCTTCCAACTTTACTATAATAATAATAATAATAATAATAATAATAATAATAATAATAATAATAATAATAATAATAATAATAA